TTAATCGGTAATTAATGGATTAATGGATGAATAATTAATTATTTTGAGACCAAATGATTATTATTCATAAATAATTCATGGATGAATGTAAAAAAATTCAAAAAATTCCCCAAAAAATCTGATATTATTCATCAATGACAGTCGACCATTTAGATTAATCGATGCCCCTCGAAGCATTTACTCACCCCAACATTAAATCATCCTCTCTTTTTTATTCCCTTTTTTTTTCGATCCATTCTATCATACTCGTGCGTTTTATGTCGGCCAATGAATGCACGTCGGTGTTTGCATAGGTCCCCATAGGTGCAATGGACTCGGATGTGAGTACAACGTCGGGCCCACAAAAAGGTTAAAAGGGGGAGGGGGGGGCTTGAAATTTGGAGGTTTTTAGGATAAGAGAAGTGAGACGATTGAAAGAAGAGGAAAAAAGAGAAGTCCCTGTGTACACTCAGCTGTCGGTCCTGTTTTTGCGCTCTGTTTGGCCCGATGCCGAGCTAAAAGCCTCGGTTCATCATCAGTTTACATATCTGTTGAATTATTTCATCGTAGATATATTGTTTAACATTATTTCGCCATCTTCTATCGTTTTTTTTTCGCATTTTTCACCGATTTTTTACGGACATTTGAATTTTACGCGGGGAAATATTATATTGATATTCATATAGCAATAATAATTATTACGGTTATTATTATTATTATTTTATCAGTATTAATATTTAATGTTTAAATGAATATTGACTTTTTGAGAGGAATCTTAATTTTTTTAATCGCGGTTCTTTTGTGGAAATTGAAAATAGATAAAATTATTGTTTAATTCAATTTTTCTTTTCACATTTTTAAATCAACATGGAAATACATATTTTTTAAATATATAATTTCCTGTGGGAAATAATATTAAATTCAATATTAAATATAATTGTTGAATCTAGACTCTAGAGTATAGATTAATATATATTAATATTGAATATTTAATTCCCCGGATGAACCATAAATTCTAATAAACAATCTATTTTTCCGGTGCAATTATAATGTTCCTGGAATTTCCGGGAAATTTTTAACATTAAAATTTTTTAACTGATGAAAAAAAATAGCTTGTGAAATTATTTATCGGTTTGGATTACATCATGCACGATAATTTTGCCTTGGACGAGTGTAAAGAATGAGATAGAAACAGCCAACGGAAAAGAGAGACCGAAGGGGAATGACGACAGGAAAATGGCGGATGCTGGTTGGTTGGAGTTGACTCCGCCTCTGAACACCATGTCGATGTACTGTATAACCTCCACTATATCTACTTACTCAATGTAATGCGTACAATACCCTTTCCCCTCCCTTTTCCACCCCTCAGCGTCTTCCCCCTGATACCCGACTCCCAACGAGACATCACGAGCTCGTGAATTTAGAGTCGCATGAGACACTAGGGCCGAACCCTCAATTACTGGTTTATTCCATTATCTGAGATACTGCCTCTGAATTCTGCCCGTGAAAATTATTATTATAAATTATGAGAAATAAATCTGATAATATGGGAATTTTTTAAATATTTCCCCTGAAAAATCGGAAATTAAAATGAATTTCGTGGAAAAAATAATTAATTTCACTTCACACGTAGAATAATCAGGAATTTAATTATTGTATCACATCCTGGAATGATCTTTATAAAATGAAAATTCGGGAAAATCCTGAAAACTCGGGTCATTATTTCCAAATTTTCAATTTACCTGCGATCCACTGAATTCAATAAGATAATAAATTCAATTTAATTTATTTAATAATTCTCACAGGCATTTGCAGATTCTCATATAATTTTGGATTATTCCATTGATTAATTTTTAAAAGCAAAAATACTTACGAATCAACCCGTCGACTTGGAAAAGCCCCAGAATATTTATTTATCATGAAAAATTACTCTCATCGGAAAAAAAAGCGAGTTTATCTGGTTGGACAATCAGACACGGCGCTCGCCATTCTGCATATTGACTACGGGTATATTTGTCTAGCAATGGAGGACAAAGAGAGAGAGAGAGAGAGAGGGAGAGAGAGAGGGGAAAGAGAGAGAAAGAGAAAGAGAGAGAAAGCGGAATTCCGGGACCCTCATCACGGACACATTAATGTGACAATTTGCGTTTAAAGTGGAAAAGAAAAAATTCAAGCGAAAACTGGATGAATCCAATTATGAGAGAATCCACTGCTGAAATTAATAAAAGTTTCCGCGTTACATGAGAGCCCGGGACTATCGTCGAGGATTTAACCCCTGGAGGAGAACCGGAAAATGGAATCGACGGCAAAAGTGTAGACGAGATTCACTCCCTCGGCATTTTTTTCATGCCCGAAAAGGAATGAATAAAAAATACTGGGAAAACCCCAAAAATATGTGGAAATTTCAAAAAAAAAATTATTGGAATTCGGAATTGTTTTGGGGAATTCGGAAAGAAATTTGGGGGTTGAATTCTAGTGATTTCCAGGGTCTATTCTTTTTCGTTGGGGGTGGGAGGACACCAGAGACGAAAGTCTCGAGGAAAAGACGTTTATGATGAGAGAAACTTGAGGAAAAGAAAAAAATTGTGGACTCCTGGGGACGAATTCGCGAGTCTAGTGCGACTGCCACTCGCTCTTGATAAAAATATTGAAAGAAAATGGAGAAATTTGTTCTCAATTTGTTTATAACTCGACGGATTGTTACGGTGATGGAAAAATTAAACTGAGGGAAATTCCTGGGGTCGCATCCAGGAACTTTCATTAATTCGATTGAAGACCTTTCACTCTCATGAGACCGTGGATTTTGGTCGGTGGAGGAGACAGAAAACGTTTTGTTACCATTGGTGACATCGAGGACCCTCGACCTGCCACGTGGGAGCTCTTCATCTCCGACACTTTTTTTGTCGTGCATTACAGTTATTATTCCGGTGTCCTCGCAAGCTGTGGTGTTGTCAACCACGAGATGAAATAAATAAATCAATAGCCTCGAGAGCCCTAAAATTCCTTGACCATAATAATCAATAATAATTTTTAACTCCATTTTATTTTCATTATTTCAATCATCTGGGTAATGACGAAATATGAGAAATTAAATGGAAATTATGAATAATTGTTTCCTCCATAAACTATCTCTTATTACTCTTTTATAATTAATTACCTAATTATGTTTCGTGAGAAAAATTTTTAAACTGAAATAATTGACATGTCATCACAAACCGTATAAATATTTAACAAATTATCTATTTTCCTGGTAAAAAAAATATAAATACACAATTAACAATTGATAAAAACATTTCTCTCGCTCGGTAAAATGATAACAGAAATAGAAATGTTGGGAAATACGAGAAAAATAGGTAAATCCGGGAATAAAAGGGCCATTATTCAAATCCGAGGTCAAATTTGTCAGTTAACCCCCAGCAATATGTAGCATTGATCCTCCGGTACATTATTCGGTCGAGATGTTCCTATCTAGATGCACACAAACACTCAGGGGGGGTGGAGAGGAATGGCGGGGTGGTACCAACAGGGGATGAAGGGGGTGAGTTAAACGCTGGGGTGGGCATTTGTGTATGGTTTTGGTGGTGTGTATAAAAAGGGTCTTTGGCGCTTCGACAATTGCCGGATATCGCAAGTACAAATGTGACGGCTAGCTCGTGATTCCGAGCTTCTATTTAATACTACCCCTTGGGTTTTGGGGGGGGGGAGGGGTGAGGGGGTGTTAAGCCCCTCTCTGTCGCTCAGGATTACCCCTGATTTGCCAACATTATCCTTACCGGGGACTGGCGCCTACGGCCAAATACTTCTCTTCTCCTTTTTTTTTTTTTCTCTCTATTTGGCAGGAAAAATTGCTCAGGGGTGGGGGGAATCTGGACAATTGTTTTGGGGCAATGATCTCTCGGGAATTGAATGATTGGCTCGGGGTCATGGGGCGGATTTGGGTGATAAACACTGAATTATTTTCGGGGAATATATATTTGTCGTGATCTGATTTATCATTTATTGGGATAATTTCCTTTTTTTATTGGAAAAAATTTCAATTAAAGTTTAAAAAGTCAGTATGTATATATGATAATTAATAAAAAAAAATAATAATTTTGATAAGCTGACCAAAAAACGACAACGTTTTGTCACACTTGGATATTTTAAAAAAGAAATTCTGTCCGCGTGAATTTTCGTTTTTGCGTGGAATAAAAAAAATAGCCCACCCAATAGGTGAATTTCCAAATGAACGAATTCACCAAAGACATTTCCCGGTCGGACTGCTCGTTTCATCGCCTCATAGAACTCTGAGTATCCGTGGCTGTTTGAGCGACAAATATTTTGTCGTCAAACTTCTGCCGGGGTCCCAGGGAATCAGCGTGTCTATATGTGCAGGGCTAATACAAAGCGTTTCGTGGGACGTTTGCTAAAATCAAATTATTCCTACAAATGCCACCTACACATCTCGCACTGTTTTCCCCCATACCTGTTAAAATCCCCCGAAATTTACCTCCCGCCCAAATGTCGGATGTACTCGAGAGTTTGTAGAGGTCGCGCAATTAGAATTCCCGTGCGATACAAATTTGTTGTCATGCCTGTTTGCATTATTGATTCACTCCTAGTTGCATTTAGCTGGAGATATCCGGGCCAATTTTAGTTTATGAACGGAGATGGTTGTAATGCCCCTACCTCCCTTTTTGCCTTCTCCTCCCCATTCCACTCCCCTCCGCCCCCTTTTCCTCCTCAAACGTTGACGGAGCTGCCGCGAACAATCGTATGAATTACCGCAAATATTTGTCGGGTGTCAATCGTCGAGATGATGCTTTAGTGTTTTCGAGTGTTTGGAGTGGGAGAAGTAATGATTAACAGTGGCTATTTGATAAATAACAAATGCCAGCAAGTTAATATTTTGTTTAAACATTGAATACTGCGAGAATATAGTTTGTGATAAGAACTTAAATATTTACCGATTTTTATTCAATCAATTGGAAACAATTATTCAAACGAATTGCACCAGGTAATTTGAATTTTGTGGTTTACAGGTACGGGGTCACAGCATTTTTCCGGAATTCGTGGTCAGGAGAAGAATTCGGGTACGCATCCTAGGCATTTTTCCTGGATTTCCAGTCAGAACAAGAAATCGGGCACGCGTTCCGGGAATTCTTCCTGGATTTTCAGTCAGAACGAGGATTCGGGTATGAATTCCTCTGAAATTTCACTGAAAAAAACGGAAATCCATACGGGAATTGAACCTGGAACCTTCCGATCACTAGCCCGGCGTTCTTTCATCTCAGCTATTAAACCCGTTTCACACCTAATTATTATTTTTCCCAATTGAATAGGAGAAATAATTTTTTAAATTAGGAATAGATTTAACGTAAACGTTTTCGAAGGTGAATAAATATATTCAATGTGTGGTATTTACATTTCGGTTGAAGTTCGTCATAATTTTTTTTGTAATCTCTTGAAAAACTCGTGGAAATTTTTTAACGACCTCAACTCGCGCCACGTGTTACCTAGAAAAATCGAGAGAGAATGGAAAAACGGGCGCGTGCATGAGTGATGCCTCTGCATTGAAAAATGTGTGAAGCTTTCGCATATTTCTTCCAGTACTTCCACTCACTCATACCGAATGGTTAATTAAGTGCTAACAAGGTGAGACGCGGAATTCTGCCTCGGGGTACAAAAGGTACGAGTGCCTTTCGAAACGCGAGGGACGTGTCGTAAAAACAAAAAATCACTTTTAAAATCCTCTTAAAATTAATTTCACTCTCCCCAAGAATTAAAAAAAATCAAAGCAAAGTCGATTATCGATTTATCGACTTCGATTTTAATAGCGATAATTGAGTATTTATTTTCGTTTTTATGATGGAAAATTCGCGGCGAAATGGAGATTATAGGAATGACGGATTTCGCACTCGGGGGTTGGCTGTTGATTTTTGGAATTTGGAGCCATTGAAAATTGAAGATTTACAGTTACAGGTACTGGAATTATATAAGTCAACGGGAACATGGGGGTTTGAGCACGTGTCGGGTATATCTCATACTTGCGGATGACAAATACACATATAAAGCCACGTATGTGCACAGTACATACGCTACCTTGGGTACCACGTGTTAACTAGGCTAACCAAGATAATCGCTCATTACGAGTGTTTAGCGTTTAACTCAAAACAGTGGTAACCAAAGGAGTCGAAGGATTTGTGGCTTTGGTCATCCAAAGGGTAAATTCCCACCGCAAATTACCATGAAAATCGAGGAGATATTTACTGACATTTCGAAATTTGGAAATTTTCAAAAAAGTATTAGGAGAACATGACAATCGAGGAGGTATTCGTTGATGTTGGAATATAGCCTCAGTCTTCTAGGAATTGATTTCTATGATTCCATGGTTTCAAAAATGTATAAATGTAAATGTATATTTTTAATAAACTATAATTAACCCTATTAAGTCCACTGTGTTTAAACTCATTTCTCTGCCCCTCCAATATTCCATTAGTTGAAATTTCAAAATTGCGAAATTTTTAGAAAAGTATCAGGAGAACATGACAATCGAGTAGGTATTCGCTGAAATTTAAAAATTCGAAATTTGTAGAAAAGTATCAGGAAAACATGACAATCGAGTAGGTATTCGCGGCAATTTAAAAATTCGAAATTTTTCAAGAAAGTATCAGGAGAACATGACAATCGAGTAGGTATTCGCGGCAATTTAAAAATTCGAAATTTTTCAAGAAAGTATCAGGAGAACATGACAATCGAGTAGGTATTCGCTGCAATTTAAAAATTCGAAATTTTTCAAGAAAGTATCAGGAGAACATGACAATCGAGTAGGTATTCGCTGAAATTTTAAAATTTCGAATTTTTCAAGAAAGTATCAGGAGAACATAACAATCGAGTAGGTATTCACTGAAATTTAAAAATTAGAAATTTTTATAAAAGTATCAGGAGAACATGACAATCGAGTAGGTATTCGCTGAAATTTAAAAATTCGAAATTTTTATAAAAGTATCAGGAGAACATGACAATCGAGCAGGTATTCGATGAAATTTAAAAATTCGAAATTTTTCAAAAAAGTATCAGGAGAACATGACAATCGAGTAGGTATTCGCTGCAATTGAAAAATTCAGAATTTTCAAAAAAGTATCAGGGGAACATGAGAATTATGGAGGTATTCACTGAACTTTCAAAATTCGAAATTTTCAAAAAAGTAATTATTACTGGAAATTAATTATTTAGAACACAAGTCATTATTTTGTGAGAATACCATGCGACCAGGGGGAATCGGATTCGGATTCCTCTTTGAGTTCTCGATTTACGAATAATACACCGAAAAAATTGTTCTGTATTGTTTCCCTCGAGCTATATTGATTGAAGACAATTGATGACCTTCAATAAATTCAAATGTTCTCTGTCAACCGCTATCAATGTCTGTTTTTTTCTGTTTTTGAACCATAGAATAATTGAACTTCATGCCCACACGACAAATAAAATACTCTAATTTTGGGACTATCGCGAAATTATTATTGCCTCGAATTTCTTGAGGACGACTTTTGACAATTTTTGAAAGACTAAGAGAAGAATTTTTTTTATCGAATACTTTCTGGCCAAATAATGGAATTTTATGCTTGAACAATTAAATTTTTTCTGTTTAATTCTGGACATTACGAATTTTTTCATTTTCGAATATGTCTCTTCTCACACACAGAAATAAATTAATTATAGATTTCCACTAATTGGCCTAGCTAACGTTCGTTTAGAAAAGCAGTAGTTTATCAATTTTCACGAAAAAATCACGCAAATCATGAACAATTACAACAATTCATCTAAAAATTTCCCCACATGAAATAATTCTATTTTTCTCAGAATTCCATAAGAATTCCCCGGGTCGTCTCCGAATTTTCCCAAGGTTTCCGCAATTTCCGTGTCAATTTCCTTCATCAGAGTTTCGTAAATTTCCCTTCAACGCTATTTCACCGCGAGATATCTAAAAAAAAATGGATAATCACCCCAGAATATTCGAGTGCGCGTGAAAAATTGAAATAATTACCGAGTGTAATGCGCGCGCGCACCTCGCATATGGCCGCGGAAGGTCGAATGACGTACCGCGTCCCCGGCTGCGCAAATATTGATCGAGGTGTCGGCATGTCGAATAATTTCCACCGAATACCAAAAGGTAGATGTCGCAGAGCCCAGGGTTGATAATTCCCCTTATCAAAATTACTCCGGTTATCAAAAGAAAACCTGCGATTGAGTAATAACCGGTGATCGTGGCGGGTGATGAGGGGCTCTTTTTTTTTTGAAGGGCTTTTTGTCCTCGAGTGGACTCGGGGGGGTTCACGACGTCCAGCTGTGCCCTATCGAGGGCCCTAGGCCACACGGGGGTGGTTTGACGCGTGTACTCCAACCACCACCCGTCTGCCACCTGTTTTCGGAAGAGAAATCCCCCGAAGCAATCGTTCAATTACCTAATACCCCTGTAAACCACCAGATCTCCGGGATAAATTTGTCAATCGGCATTTTTAGATCACACCGATTGCCGGGTAAACCCCTAGAAATTGGGGAATCCGTCTTAATTAGAGTCAAGTGTTTTTCTACACCGGCGAGAGAAAAATAACATTTTCCTCCTTCACCGTTAGGAAATTTCTATTTTCTCCCACGCCGAAACGGAAAATATCGTTTTTTAGAATAATTTCCTATAAGTCAATTATCTAAAAAAATTTACAATTTCTTCGTAATTGTAATCGATAAATTTGTCAATTTAAGAATTTTCTAGAATGTTATTCCTCGAAAAATTCAAAAAACAGACAATTGTTTAAATAAATTGGAAGAATGAACAAAAAATCTGGCGAAATGAATTTTCCCAATTTTTCCGCGGGAGTTTGCTCGACGCATTAATTTATTCAGTCATCCAATTGAAGTTCAAATTGTTTAATTAATGAGACAATTAGCGGGATTAATCTCCACCGTAAATTGGAATCAGAGTCATCCATCGGTTTTCCATAATGGATCGTTTGCTCGGTGGTCGACACGATGAGTAGTCGGCAAACACTGGAAAATTCTTTCCTTTTTTTTTCTGTTCTCCACGTTGATTTTGCATCACTGATCGATCCCCCTCCCCACGTGTGGGCACGTTTTTAGGTGTATTACGGCTCTGTTTAATCTCCATTCCCTTTTTTTTTTCTCGAGTGGTCCAGGATATATCCCACGGTTTCGCTCTCGGTTCTCGATTTAAAAGGCAATCGCCCGGGGAACACTCGTAACAAAAGCCTCGATGAAAGTTAATCGCCAACGAATACATTCGGTGTGATGCAAACTATCTCTTGACGACTTGGGAAAAGAAATATTGAGATGTGAGTCCCTGGAGGCGACTCCATGATGACTGCACTCCCACGAAATGATGAGAACGGAAAAAAAATATTTCGGTTCTATTCAACTCGAAGAAATTTAACGGAGAAAATTTTCGTGGGGCTTCCCATTTTTTTTTGGCTAGGAAAAATTTTCCTAGGGGAAATTCTCAGGGAGTAGAATTTTCGCGGAAATCTCCGAGATTTTGTGAAAATCCATTGAAAATTCATTTTTCCGGGAAATCAATGGACAATAAACAAATTCCCCTGAGTTTTTATCATTTAGTGATAAAAATTTGAAATAATTCAACAGAATTTTCATATTAAATTTAAGATTGAAAAAAATAACGAAATTCTCTCACAGAATTCTCCAATAAAATCTAAAATTTCCTGATTTTCCACAAATTCCATTTAGTACCTGAAAATTAAATTTTCCTCGGCCAGTACATCAGACACATTGAAGTAATTCCAACAACAAAAAGATTTCCCCATAAAAAATCATTAATGACAAAAAAAAGTAACAACTAAACTCTAACACATTTTAAAAAATAATCCTCTGGGGGAAACTCAGTCGCGAGAATTTTCAATTGAATTTCACGTAATGACAATTTTCAACGGAAAATTTTCCCCGGGGAAAAAAGATCCGGTGACTGAGGCGAGTGCATGGCGCCTTTTTTTATCATCATCTTACTCTCTAATCATCCACCCCGGGAGATACTCTTCCAGGTAAAGTCGATGCACCTTTACCGCATACATACACCCGTAAAGTGCTCGCAATTCCTTGTTTGCCTATTTACCCGATGTAAACAGCCGTCAGAGAGGAAGGGGTTGACTACTTTCGTTGCACAAACAATACGGACATTGTACCCGTCACGATCTGTACATTTTTACTCCGCCGGATCCCAACGTTTTACCCCTTTTAATGACCCCTCCATTTTTTTTTTCTCAACATTCGCGTGACGACTCCATGATACACTCAACCCTTTTTTTTTTCGTTTATTGCTCCACCTGTTCACCCCGGGGATTGACTAATTTGCGCCGAGCTGTGATTAACACGCCGGATTATTATGTAATTCAATATTTTTCATTACCAATCATTCCTATGACCAATTGGAATTATTTTTTCCCCGTGGAAAAATCAAATTTTTTATTTTATTATGATATTAATATTAATATTAATATTAATCCTCATTAATCTAATTTAATCTTAATCTTCATGCAATTATATTCTCTCCTAATTAAACCGAAAGTGAAGGTTAATCAATCTATAATTACCCCTAATATTTCTAATTACCAAAATTCACTGAGAAATCCCGCAATTCCGATTGATTAATCAATGAAAATTCAATTACAACACAAACGCCCAATAATTCCAATCTCCCGCTATTTTTCACCAATTAAATCTCATCCAGTAATTAAAAAATAACTAAAATCCAATTTTCCACCGGTATTTGCATTTCATGAATAAAATATGGAGTCCATGATTTTTGGAAATAGCCGGTGCAGATTGACGGGTGTGAATTAAATTAATTCCCGATGGTAGGGCTGTTTCATTGTAATGAATCGGTAAATTGTGGGGGCGATGGGGGGGACAAGGGGTGGGGGGAGGAAGGGGTGAGTGAAATCACGGCAATTGCGGGTACAATGGGTACTTGAACCACAACAATGGCGGATTGGTAACAGCGCGTGGCTCCTTTTCACCTCGAAAATGCGCATATTTTTTTTTCTCCTGCGAGAATGAAAATCAATGGCGGGGTAATGTCGGCTGGAACAAAGAGCCGACAGTGTTTTACAAACAGCTAAACGCCACGTGGACCCACCGCTCTGTCAAAACATTCCGCTCTTGGGATGTAATGTCGAATGATCCGTCTATGAGCATCGGTTGGGGAGAGGGGGAAGGGGGGGAGGGCAATGAGGGGCCGCGTGGCGGTTTTACCACCCCTTGGGGCCCTTCGGCCCTTTCGCCCTTTTTCCATTAAATTCAACATCTGATGAACGCATGGGAAATTCG